ACGATTGAATATAAAGCTTCATGTAATAAGCAAATACAAAATCATAACAAAACATAATTTGTGAAAAATAGTTTAATAAATGATGACAATTGTTAATATAAGAACTGAATAAATAAATCTACAAAGGAAATATACAAAGTAAATCGATTCGATCAAAAAATAAGACACACAGAACCGCGATGTTCGTATAAAAATTAAGTAAGTCTATGATGCTCTGCAATAATAATGGTACGGCTTATATATTAGAATAAGTTTCTAAGAATCTTAATTTTCTCAATCATCAATTTTCGGAGCCAAATAATATCATATGTGTCCAATATCGCTAATTTTATATTCACATACTAGATGTACGTCATTAGACATAGATAGTTGCACTTGTGTACAAAGGGGTCCATCCTTTACGAAGGAATTAAGGTAACGGCATGAGAATGTTAATTTTACAGGTTCTTGCATATTAACAACTACCGCTTTTTCTTCGTTATCCGTGTCCGCTGTTTGTGCTAACTTGACTTGTGCTGAAAAAAAGGAATCTTATATGAATATAATGACAACATTATAATGTCAATTATATAGATATATTTTTACATTTTGTAATATATACATCTTGTAATTTATTTGCATTTTTAAATTAGTTTTACTAGAACAGGGTATAATTCCTTATATGAAAATGTAAACAGGCTTCATTGTAAATAAATGCTTTTATGACTTCAGCCTAATGATAACAAGGTCAAGCAAGCAAATACTTCAAATCACTGCGTTGTTCTTCGCATTCGGTTACATATTTAACATATAAGATAATTATACATTGTCCATAATCTCCAGCAGCACTGAACTCGATACCTTCTTTAGAACATGCAAATGTTATTGATTCTCCGAATTTACTTAAATCTCTACAGATGCGAGAAAATTCTTTTGTGTGTGTGTGTGTGTGTGTGTGTCATTTTTACAACACATGAATATGATGTTTCCTTCAATAATATCGTAAGATAAAAATAGCGTTAACATGATAAATAAATAATGAAATGATGCACGAAGAATGAAACATACAGAAATACCAAGATGTTCTTGATCCATATTTATAATTTTCATCTCGTATTCGGCAAGTTTCTCTTCGTTTGGTGATTCTAATATAAACATAATATTTTCTGGATTATCCACCGCTCGTAGAGTGAC